CGCGTCGTCGCCGTCCTCCCTCCTCCTTCGTCGTTGTCGTCGCCGTCGTCGTTGTCGCCGTCGTCGTCCTCCCTCCTCCTTCGTGGTCGACTTCGTTGGCGACGTCGTCGTCGTCTTCGTCGTCGGCGTCGGCGTCGTCGTCGTCCTCGTCGTCGTCGACGTCGGCGTCGTCGTCGCCGCCGCCGTCGTCGTCGTCGTCGGCGTCGTTGACGTCGTCGTCGTCGGTGTCGTGTTGTCGTCGTCGTCGTCGGCGTCGTCGTCGTCGTCGTTGTCATCGTCGTCGTCGTCGTTGTCGTCGGCGTCGGCGTCGTCGTTGTCGTCGGTGTCGTCGTCGTCGTCGTCGTCGTTGTCGTCGTCGTCGTCGTTGTCGGCGTCGTCGAAGTCGTTGGAGACGTCGTCGGTGTCGTCGTAGTCGTTGTCGGCGGCGTCGTCGTCGTCGTTGTCGCTGTCGTCGTCGGCGTCGCTGTCGTTGCCAAATGCCCTTCGGTACCCACCGTCACGGTCTGAAGAGATTTTGCAAATCAAGTGGCGGGTGGGTGGGTGGGATGTTTGCGCGAGCAGTGGAGTGGACAACTCACTGCGAACAGCAATTATTTTTCCTTACTAAAAAAGAATAGACTCTACCCCCCCGGCGTTATCCGCCCCCCCTTTCGGGTATGTAAATCACATATGATTCTGACCACATGTCCATCCTAAAGAGGGGCCGGTATCCCCCACCTGAAGTTCCTTTGATAAAAACACTATGCGGTGACATGTTTAATTCTAACATAACACTCTTTCGTCAATCCTTTGCAACATATGGGACGAAGAGCACGCGCGCGCGTCGTCGCGCGCGCATGCCGAAATCCTTCAAAAACCTTCGGTGCTGGACACATTTCGCAATCGAGTTTCCAAGCAACATACAAAAAACACATGGTTTCGCAACACTGATTAGCTAAAACAACTTACGCGCGAGCTCTTGCGAAATCTTAAGAAAACCGTTTGTGTTTCAAGATTTTCAACACATGCTACCAAACGGGCTTCGCGCGCGCGCATGTCGAAATCTGTCGAACGCCCTTGCGCGTGTGCCGTCGCGAGAATCCTCTGCAAACAACGGGACGAAGTGCAGTCGCGCGTGTCGTCGCGCACAAATGCCGAAATCCTTCAAAACCCATCGGATTCGGAAGGATTTCAAAATCGTGTGTCCAAAAAACCTACAAAAACACAAGGTTTCGCAACACGGATTTTCAACAAAAGCGTGCGCGCGCGCTCGTCGTCGTCGTCGTCGTCGTCGTCGTCGTCGTCGTCGCCGTCCTCCCTCCTCCCGCGTCGTCGTCGTCGTCGTCGCCTACGTCGTCCTCTGTCTTTCCTCGTGTTCGTCGTCGTCGTCCTCTTTGGCGTCGTGGTCGTTTCCGTCGTCGTTGTCGCCGTGGTCGTCCTTCCTCTGAGGTTCCCTTGTAAACAAACAGTACGCGGGGACATTTTTTGTTCTAACATCTGACTTTTTCGCGAATCCCTTGGAAAAAAAAGGGACGAAGTGCGCACGCGCGCGTCGTCGCGCGCGCATGCCGAAATCCTTCAAGAACCATCGGTGTCGGAAGGATTTCGCAATCAAGTTCCCACAAAACATACAACATCACAGGGTTTCGCAACACTGATTCGCTAAAACAGCTTACGCGCGAGCTCTTGCGAACTTTTAAGAAAACCTTAGGTTGTTTTCAAGATTTTCACAAGATGCTACCAAACGGGCTTCGGGCGCGCGCATGTCGAAATCTGTCGGACGCCCTTGCGCGTGTGCCGTCGCGAGAACCTTTTTGCAAAACGTGGGACGAAATGCAGACGCGCGCGTCGTCGCGCGCGTATGCCGGAATCCTTCAAAACCCATCGGATTCGGAAGGATTCCAAAACCGTGTGTCCAACAAACCTACAAAAACACAAGGTTTCGCAACACGGATTTTCAACAAAAGCGTGCGCGCGCGCGTTCTTGGGTCGTCGTCGTCGTCGTCGTCGTCGTCGTCGTCGTCGCCGTCCTCCCTCCTCCCGTGTCGTCGTCGTCGTCGCCTACGTCGTCCTCCGTCTTTCCTCGTGTTCGTCGTCGTCGTCGTCCTCTTTGGCATCGTGGTCGTTTCCGTCGTCATTGCCGCCGTGGTCGTCCTTCCTCCTCCTCGCTCGTCGTCGTCGTCGTCCGTCGTCGGCGTCTCGTCGTCGTCCCTCCTATTTCGTCGCCGTCGTCGTCGTCGTCGTCGTCGTCGTCTTCCCTCCTCCCTCGTCGTTGTCGTCGTCGGCGCCGCCGTCCTTCCTCCTTCTTCGTCGTTCGCGTCGTCGCCGTCCTCCCTCCGTCTTCGTCATCGTCGTCGTCGGCGTCGTCGTCGTCGTTGTCGTCGTCGTCGTCGGTGTCGCCGTCGTCGTCGTTGACGACGTCGGCGTCGTCGTCGTCGTTGTCGCCGCCGTCGTCGTCGTCGGCGTCGTTGGCGTCTTCGTCGTCGTCGTCGGTGTCGTCGTTGTCGTCGCCGTCGGCGTCGTCATCGTCGTCGTCGTCGGCGTCGGCGTCGGCGGCGTCGGCGTCGTCGTCGTCGTCGTCGTCGTCGTCGGTGTCGTCGTCGTTGTCGGCGTCGTGGATATCGTTGGAGACGTCGTCGGTGTCGTCGTAGTCGTTGTCGGCGGCGCAGTCGTCGTCGTCGTCGCTGTCGTCGTCGGCGTCGCTGTCGCTGCCAAGTGCCATTTGGTACCCGCCGTCGCGGTCTCACGATATTTTGCAAGCCAAGTTGCGGGTGGGTGGGTGGGATGATTGCGCGAGCAGTGGTTGACAACTTCAAGTTCGGCAAGTGAACTGCGCCGCATAGAGTGCGCCGCGTGATTTGCGCTACGTAGATTGCTTACAGTAGAATGCGCCACATATCCGCCACCGCGCCCTCGCACCAAATTCTTGAGTTCTTGAATATCTCGGGGTCTCCCCGCGTTCCCAAGCCCTGGCGCGTTTTCCCGCGTAACTTTCCCGGGCCCAGAAAAGCCCCAAGACGGGGCAAGAGTGCCCCTAAGAGGCCTCCAAGAAGGCCCCGAATCGCTGCGCGATCGATCTAAGACGCCCCAAGAGGCCTCGCAGAGCGCCCCCGCCATGGGTCCGATAGGCCCAAATCTTTGATGCCCCGTAAGGTTTTAAATAATATTGGCGTTCCCGCCTGTCCGGCTCCCCGACGCTCCGAGACGGTCCAAGAGGCCCCCTAGATCGCCTCCAGAGGCTTACAAGAAGGCCTCCAACTGTCCCAACAGGGCCCCCAGAAGCCCCCGAGAGGTCCTCAGGGCGGCTCGACAACATTCAATCTTGATTGGAATGGAAGGAAGCGCGGGCAGGGGATCGCCATGCTCTTCATTCGCTCCTTCTCCCTATCCTCCCAGGCATTGAGTTATTCTTCCACTTCGCGTTTGCATGTGTTCACTTGTCCACCCGCCTCCCCTGCCACCTCCAGGGGTAGATTGTGCGATGCGCTGCGCGAGTCCGCCCCAGAGCATGCTGGGTTGGGACTCGGGCGCCCATCGACCCCGACCCCCTTCTTGGTCGCGTCAGCGAGACAATCTCGCGGAGCTTTTCCAGAGGGCCTAGACTGGGCACTCGAACGGAAATGTCGAACCCTTGGCCCCAAGAAACCCCCGGGAGACCCCACGGGGGCCCCCGACCGCTCCCCCAAGAGATTCCGAAGAGACCCGAAGAAGCACCCCTGAGAAGTCTGACCCATGGTCTTGCCACGTGGCGGCGAGATCTTGGCATGGATGAGCTGGTAGACATCAACCGCGAAGCAGGATATTGTCCGCTTACCGAGTTCGGTGTCGCAGGCTCGGGGCGAGATGAACTTCCCCCACCGCTCGTGGGATTCGAGGCCGAAGGCAAAATCCAGAAGCGTCTGGGGTCCAGAGGACACCTTGGTTTGGAGATTTTTCATCGATGGTCCAGGGCTGAACCCGATGTCGAATGGCAGACGCGTTCAGGATGGTCGCGTTCCCCCCTGGTTCCAGGGTCCCGCGGGGCAGGTCTTGCATGTTATGGTCCTACGCCTGACGCCGTTCAGAGCTCAGGGCTGGAAGAGCATCACCTTCTACATGGCCTCGTGTGTTGATGGGGCCTCGAACGGTGATCATCACTGATCACAAGAACTTGTTGATGTCCGTGGGCAAGGGAGCTGAAATCATGTGCAACCCATCCCAACCTTATTGTGAGACGTGGGACGAGACAACTTCGAGCTGGTTTGGGTGCCGCCCCACAAGTCAAGGGCCTGGTTGAGAAGAAATAGTTTTCCCCCCACTGGCACGAGTGGAATTCTGAAGCCGATGGGCGTGCCAAGGTTGGAGCCATGGGCCACCCTTCAAATCCCCATGCTCGTGAGCGTCTGATGGCTGCAGAGGAGTTTGGGATTAAGTTTGTGCGTCTCTTGGCAGGTGTGTTTTATAATCTCAACAATATTGGTTTTCCACATGTTGATGGTTTTTGCGAAGGTCCAGAAGATGCCTGAAAAGCGTTTGGTTGGGGGTGAACTAACGTGTACTGTAAGGCTTGTAAGGGGGGACAATGGGCATCTCCGTCACAGGGAAGGAGCGAAGTGGGGCTGTAGGCTGTGCGGTCAGAGCTCGCTTAGAAGGAATCGTGTCACTAGCCAGCTCTGCCCAGGTACCCCGAGAATCACTGCCAGAGCCCATCCATCCCACAGGATGTGGGAGTGTGGGAGGTCTTTCTTCTGTTCGCTGTGGGAAGTACGGCACCTACCAGGTGAAAAGGCCCGGCCGAGGAGTGCACCCTCACGGGCCAGGCGAATGGGGCAGGAGGGCGCCTAAGGAACTCAGGAACGGCAAGGACCCAACCAGCAAGACAGTGGTGGGGCCCCCCTTTCCAATCCACTAAGCCTCCCTTTCCATATCTGGCAGGCTATCTTTCGCCAGAGAAGGACAGACCTGTCAGAGGATCCATCCAGAAGCTCCAGAGGAGGAGGAAGAGGACAGGAGGCGGAGGATGAGTGGAGAGGATCACCTACCTGGCCCCTCAACCTCCTCAGGCCGTCGACGTCGATGACCAGTCGAACGTCGTCAGTCCTGTCAACGACGCCTATGTCCTCCCACGCTTGCAATGCGCTGTCCAAGATATCCGAGGCCCAGTCCTCCAAGCCGGCGTGCGGCGTCTCCGCCCCCTCTCGTGCCATGGATACCAGCTTATCATATAGCATGTCGGCGAGCTGGTGCTTTTCCAGCATGGTGGGGTTGACGAAGCCCTCCAGCTCACTCTGCGTAACATCCTTCTCATACCGCTGATTCATGTCGAGACCGTCGGCCAGGCCCTCTGCAGGCTCGCGTGGAGCGGCCTGCAGTCCCGCCCCCGTCCAGGGTCAATGGGATGGCACGAACCAGTCCCGCCCCCGCACGTACCCAATGGAAGTCATCGAAGCCTTCCGTTGCGGTGGCACTTCGAAGGCCAACATCTCGATCAGGAACCACGCAGCGACCAGGTCTAGTATCATAATCAGCGCCACGTGCGAGACCAACACCACGTACCTCTGCAGGAACAGCGCCTCCAAGATCCGAACCGCGAGCAGGAACAGCGCCACTTTCGGGTACGGCGTCACCGTCGGGGATGGCGTCGCCAGGCCATCTCTCGTTCGGGATGGTGATCTGGTTGGGCTTGACACCGTACTTCTCCTGTGCGGGCTCGTGCATGATGCCGTTCACGTCGATGTCGATGCCCTCCAGCTCCATCTGCGCGCCCCCGAAAACATCCTTCTCGGACCGCACCTCCTCGATCATCTCATGCTGCGCGTCCTCGGACTCCTGCCACGTGGTGCCGCCCGCGTCCGCGGAAAGGCCCTCGTTCTCCTCCACGCTCTCCTCCAAGTTCTCCCTCTTGCCGTAGTACACTGTGCACGCCATGTGCAGCCGTAGCCTCCGATCCGCGCGGCGGCGCGCCTCGGTGCGGCCTGGAGAGGGGTGCCACGGTCCAGGCGGGGCGGGCACACGCATCGTGCGGTCGCGCGCGAGAGTCATCAGGTTGTAGCCTAGCGGAGGGCCGAGCTGAAAGATGGCGCCATCCGCCTTTACAACTGGCGCGCAGAAAGAGTTGCAAAAGGCAACATGGCTGCAGTGCAAAGAACCTCAAATCATGGTTTACCAAGGGTGTTTGAGGCTAAGACGAGGAGAAGGAGGAGGAGGAGGAGGCGGAGGAGGGAGGAGGAGGGAGGAGGGAGGTCAGGAGAGGCCCCCTGCAGCTCGTCCTCGGCCAATCGATTCTGGCAGCGAGGTACCACAAGACAGCTTGAACTTCTCTTGAGACATACCGTTCTCGTGACTTCCGGCCTTTCTGAAGTAGGGCCCACCGCCGGGCTTGCTGCCCGCGGAGAATGCGCCACTGGCAACCGCACTCCGCGCGGGGGGGAAATCGCCTGCGCGTCCACGTCCACCACCACCTGCAAGGACCCCCGACGAAAGAGCGGGCGTCCTCCTGATCCTGATCCTGCTTCTCCTCTCTTCTTCCTCGTCGTCCTCCTCCTACTCAACTCCTCGTCCTCCTCCTCCTCACTCCTCCCTCCTCTCTCTTTCCATCACTTGTCCTTATGAGTAACTCCTCCCTGTCGCGCCCCGAGACGTGTCGGTAGGGCGGGCCGGGTGTTTCGTCTGAGCCTTCCTCACGATTCTGGTCCTGAAGCGTACGCTTGCATCAATTTTGCAATGGATGGAGGGCGGGCCGTTCACCTTGAAAATTTGCAATGCCGGATGGTGGGCAGTGTTCAAAATGTGGCTGTCGACTTCGCGCCGTGTGCATTCCTCTTCAAACTTTGCAGGAGCTTCACGGATGGAAAGCGGGTGCTTTTCAACATGTGGCTCTCTCCTTCGCGCCGCGCACATTGGTCAAAGTTTGCAAGGCTTTCACTGGTGGAGGGCGGTTTGAATTCGAAAATGTGGCTCTCGCCTTGGCGCCCCACACATTCATCTGCAAAGTGTGCAAGAGCTTCGCAGATGGAGGGTGGTTCGTCTTCAACATGTGGCTCTCTCCTAAGCGCCGCGCACATTCGTCTTCATAGTAAGAACCTGTTTCACTGATGTAGGGCGGTTGTCTTCAAAATGTGGCTCTCGCCTTCGCGCCGCGTGCATCCGTCTTCAGTTTGCAATAGCTTCGCGGACGGCTGGCGGATGCTACCAAAATATGGCAATCACCGAAACGCCACACACACATCATGTGTCTTAAACGTTATCAACAATCGAATGTGCTCTTATTGTTGACTTCCCCAACATTGTGTTCAAACACGGTTCAGGACTGCCAAAGCGCCCGTCACGTTGATTCGCAGTGTTGAAGTCCCAGGAAATGTGTTCCGGCACACCGCAAGACCGTCAGGACGCAGCAACAAAGTTGACTCGCGCTGATGGAGTCCAAGGAGGCGTGATTTGGCACGGCACGACTGAGGATCCCCAGACGGTTGCCTTCCAACGGGGCACTTCCATCAGTGCAGATGTAGATTGTTGGATGGGCGACCCATGAAGAGGGACCTTGGAGGGAGGGTTCATTGCAACATCGTTGATGCGTCTTGGGTTTAAACTAGTCTCTCCTCCTACTCCCCCTCCCCCTCCCCCTCCCCCTCCTCCTCCTCCTCCTCCTCCTTCTCTCCTCCTCCTCCTCCTCCTCCTCCTCCTCCATCTTCTCTCCTCCTCACTCCTCTCTCCTATCTCCTTCTCATCATCTCTTTCTCCCCCTCTGTTACTACGTCCTCCTCCTCCTCCTCCTCCTCCTCCTCCTCCTCTCTCGTCCTCCTCCTCTTCCTCTTTATTATTCCTCCTCCTCCCTCATCCCTCTTCCTTATAATGAGATATTCCTGTCGCGCCCGTCAATACGGCGGGCAGGGCGTTTCGCCTGAGACTGCCTATGTATGATCCTGAAGCTTATACGGTGTAGCAGCTGTCAGGAAGGAGCTCAGGTCATTTCCAAAAAGTACCTCGATTCGCCATGCAAGTTTGCAACCACTTAACAGGTGGAGCGGGGGTCGTTTGCAAAATCCGCCGACCCTGCAGGCGTGTGTGAAACGTTTTTCCGTTGGATTCGTCGTCGCCGTCGCCGCTGCCCCCGGGTCTCTGGGCTCTCCTCCTCAAGCGATCCAGCCAAACGGAAATCAAACAACGTAGTAATTGATTCGAAAGGAAGCCCCTTCCTTTTGATCCATACCCAACCCGGGGAGAGGGTCGGCAACCCCCCCCTGTGGGGAGTCCCTGAGGGGTTCAAGGAGTCGTGACCGACCTCCCCGCGGGGAGGGTCCCCCTGTGGACAAGGGGGACAAGGGAGTGGTCTCCCCGTGGAAGGACATCTCCCCCCGCCTCCCCCCTGTGACCACCACCACCCGCCCTTCCTCCCGGATCCCCTCACTCTGATCTGCTGTTGCCGGGTGCTGCGTATTTTCCACATTCCTCCCAGAGGTCTCAGATCTGCTCCGGGGCGGCTCCAAGTGACCACGGAGCTTCCCAAGAAGTCACCCAAGAGGTCCCCCAACAAAGCAAAAGAGACTCTCACGAGAGGCCCGATCAAGGCTCCAGAGCGTCAGCGTTGTCGTTGTCGCCGCCGCCGTCGTCGTCGACCTTCTTCACGATAGACGGCACTGGCCGTAAGGCCTTCTCTATAGAGCTCTGGCCTCAGCGTCGCGCACATTCGTCATAGAAATTTGCAACGGCTTGAAGGGCTGATTCAAAACAATTTTCAAAATGTGGCTGTCGCCTTCGCGTCACGCAAACCGTCCTGCACATTAGCATCAGTCTCAGGGATACAGCGGGGGGCAACGTCTTCAAAATGTGGCTCTCGCCTTAGCGCCGCACTTTTTCGCAGTAGCAGCAGGTACAAGGATGGATCACAGGTCGTCTTAGCGCCGCCCACATCAGTCTTGAACGACCGCATCAGTTTAGAGGATGGAGGGTGGTTCCTTTCAAAAAGGTGGTCCTTACTATAGCACCGCGCACATCCGTCTTAAACATTTGCAGCAGCTTGAACGATGTAGCGGGGTCCACTTCAATCTGTGGCTCGCCTTAGCGACGCGCACATTCGTCTCACTAAAAGCTTGCAGCAGTCAACATGATGGAGGAGGGCTCTTTTCAACTCGAAATTCAACACTTCAACACGTAGATCATTTCACGGATCCAGGGCGGATGGCTTTCAAAATGCGCCGACCCTGTCGGCGATTGTGAGACGCTGTCTCGTTTGATTCGTCGCTGTCTTCGACATGTCGCATCCTGTCCCCAATTCCGCAATGTTTCTTCCAGCGACGGCGCCAGTCAACAGGAAATCGAGAATCGCAACGTCGTACTCGAATCGAAGGGAAGCCCCTTCCCTTTCATCCTTCCCCGCCAATGGAGGGGATCCTGGGCGGGGGGGGTGTTGAAAGGGGTCCCCGGTCAGAATGCACTCCCTCCCCGTGGGGAAGGGGGTGCCAGATTCCCGCAACCGCTCTCGACAAAAAATGTCGTAGACATGTCGTACTTGGATCGAAGGGACGCCGCTTCGCCGCCGAGGGGGGGGGGTCTGGGAGGGGGGAGTTGTTGAGGGGAGTCCCAAGTCAGAATGCACTCTCTCCCCGTGGGGCGGGGGTTCATCCTCGCACTGGCGGGCGAGAAATGTTGTCGAAAGCCGTGCTTGAATCGAAGGCAAGCCCCTTCCCTTGCATCCCTTCCCCGCCAAGAGAGGGAAAGGGGGTTGAGGGGGGCCCTGGGTCAGAATGCACTCGCTCCCTCGCTTCCCCATCCCCACACCTCCTGCCCCTCATGCCCTCCTGTTCCTGCTCCTTCTCATCTCCCTCATCCTCCACCTCATCCCTCTCCTTCTCCTCATAGCATACAATGTCGGCGGCATCGGCCGTAAGGTCTTCATATTCTATAAGAAGGATCTGCCTTGAGACCACCTCGAAGTCAATGTTCACACATGTAAATTTGAGCAACAGTTGCACGGACGGGGGAACTGTCTTCTTCGAAAGGGGGAGCTCGCTGGATACTTTTTTTTGGCATGCCATAGAGCGCGCAAGAATGATGCAAGTCAACTCATTTTTTTGAAAGCGGGGACCTTTCCAACATGGCATGCCCAGCGGTGAGAAGGAAAGCTAGTGGGGATGAGGAGGGGACTTGGAACCGAAGGGCGTGTTCCATTGCTGATGCATCCTGGGTTAACTCTGGCCCTCCTCCTCCCTCCACCTATCTTCTCCGCCTCCGCCTCCCTCCTCCTTCTCCTCCTCCCTCTACCTACTTCCTCCGCCTCCTCCTCCGCCTCCTCCTCCCTCCACTATACCTCCGCCTCCTCCTCGCTCCACCCTATACACCTCCACCTCCTGCTCCTCCCTCCACCCTATACCTCCGCCTCCTCCTTATCCTGCGTCCTCTTGACTCCCCCTTGGGGCAGACGCATGCGGCTGAGAGCGCCCTCCCGCGCGGATGCCCCCTGGCCTGGCCGTGACCTCCTCCTCGTCTTCCTCTTCCGCTCCCCTGCTCTCCTCTCCTCTCCCCTGTCCTCTCTTTCTCTACCCTCTCCCCCTCCTCCTCCTGCTCCTGCTCCTCCTCCTCCTCCTCCTCCTAGCCCTCCCCCTCGCCCTCGTCCTCCGCCCCTTTTTCCTCCTCGGCCTCCTCCCTCCCTCGCGCTCCCCCTCGTCGTCGTCGTCGTCGTCGTCGTCGTCGTCGTCGTCGTCGTCGACGACGACGACGTCGTCGTCGTCGTCGTCGTACTCCTCATCCTCTTGAGCTTGACTACGGCCAGACTTAGGACATAGGAACATCCTCCAAGAACATGACGGCCAGACCCTGCCGGCCATCCTGAAACACATTCGAGGGCCCCCCCCAGGATGCACAGGAACACCCGACAAATGCGAAGAACATTAGGTCCCATTAGCTACCCTCCCCGAACCGACCTCAATCTTCATCTCGGTCCGCCTGTACCATCTTGTTGGCTCTTGCGAATCGACGCTAATCGACGCCAGTAGTCAGCGCAACATCGACGCTGATCGACGCTGAGCCGTCGTCGTCGTCGTCGCCGCCGCCGTCGTCGTCGTCGTCACCGCCATCGTCGTGGTAGTCGTCGTCGCCGCCGCCGCCGCCGACGTCGTTGTCGTCGTCGTCGTCGTCGCCGCCGCCGCCGCCGCCGCCGCCGCCGCCGCCGCCGTCGTCGTCGTCGTCGTCGTCGTCGCCGCCGCCGCCGCCGCCGCCGCCGCCGCCGCCGCCGCCACCGTCGTCGTCGTCGTTGTCGTCGTCGTCGTCGTCGTCGTCGTCGTCGTCGTCGTCGTCGCCGTCGTCTGGCGCCCAACGGGCCTCGACGTTGGGCGCCGGGCCCCCGCGCCGCGGCCGCAGGTCGCACACGGTCATGCCTCGGGTGTGGCCGCCGCGCAGCTCCACGGCCACCTCGGCGCGAGCGCCGCTGCGCCGCTGCGCCGCGGCTGGGGCCCGGCCGCCAAGTGCGGCTGAATTTTCTCCTCCTCGCGGAAGGCGACGGCTTCTTCCGCAACGACTTCTTCTGGAAGAACTTTCTTCTGGAGAATGTCGTCCGGAAAAAGAGGTCCCGAAGAAATCGTCGCGGAACATATCGTCTTCGGAAGAAATGGTCGAGAAGAAGTCGTCCGGAAAAACTCGTCGAGACATAGGTTTTTCTCGAGAGATCGGTGCGGCGGAGACAAAGGAGGATGACAAAGATGGCGTTCGGAATAAATGGTTCGGACAAATGGTCCACAAGAACTCGTCCAGAAGAAATGGTCTCGGAAAAATTCGTCCAGAAGAAACGGTCCAGAACACATCGTCCAGAACAAGATAACGTAAATAAAAATCGTCCGGGGGAAAAAAACATCCAGAAGAAATCGTCCGGAAGAAATCGTCCTGAAAGAATCGTCCGGAAGAAGTCGTCCGGAAGAAATCACACGGAAGAAGTCGTCTGGAACAGATCAACTGAAGAAGTCGACCGGAAAAAGTTCGCATGGTGCCATTGAGCTCATTTCGGCGCACCCCTCACAGGTTTCGTTGCCCCATTGGGAGCACAAGCGAAAATTTCGTGGCAAGGTTCGCATGGCACTACCGCACTTATTCCGGCACACCCTTCACATGTTCGTGGCCTCATAGGGAACTCCGCCGAAGGCCCCAATGGCAGGGTTCGCATGGCGCCACCGCGCCATTTTCGGCACACCCCTCACACGATTCGAGGCTCCATAGGGAGTCCACCGAAGGCCACAGTGGCAAGGTTCGCATGCGCTTGACCGCACCCATGTCGGCACACCTCTCACACTGTTCGTGGCCCCATGGCGGGTTCCACGCAAGGCTCCACTGGCGGTGTTCGCATGGCGCCACCGCACCCATGTCGGCATCACACGTTCCGTGGCCCCATTGGGAGCTCCACCGAAGGCCCCTGTGGCAGGGTTGCAGGGTTCGCCACCGCACCCATGTCGGCACACCCCTCACACGTTTCGTGGCCCCGTAGGGAGCTCCGCCGAAGGCTCCGTGGAGGACGGGGGGCGCGGGGAGGACCGAGGCTCCGGCGCGGAGACGGACAGCGCGTCTCTCGTGCGTTGGCGGGACTGGGTTCAGTGGATCCTGGTGTAGTGATGTGCACCGAGGGACCCACCCCCGCGCCATGCCACGAATCAGAACTGCAGTCGCACGAGGAAACACCGAATGGCGACGACTTCTGCCGCGACGACTTCTTCAAATAATCATTCCTCCCCGAGGAAGTCTCCCGGACAAATTGGCCCCGAAACAATCGTCGCGGAAACAATCGCCCACGGAAGAAACGGTCTGGGAGAAGCCGTCCGGAAGAAGTCGCCTGGAAGAACTCGGCGACAAATGTATTGTTATATATTGTTTTCGGGAGACATCGGCGCGGAGGAAATGGGGGGGAGGGGAGCAGATGGAGGAGAACGCCGACGAATGCGAGGAGGGCGAGGATGGGGGGGAGGAGAGGGGGGGTGGAGGCAGAGGAAACGATGGAGGACTAGGCGGAGGAAGGAAAAATAAGCGGACGGAAACTTGTCGAAAGAGACGTTCGGAGTAAATCGTTAGGAACAAATTACCCCGGTGCGACCCTGCCTAGAAGTTGGAGCCCCTAGGAAAGCAGCACTAGTTGCTATGCTATGCTATGCTATGCCATGCTATGCTGCGCTATGCTATGCGCTATGCTGCGCTATGCTATGCTATGTTATGCTATGCTATGCAAAACTATGCTAAGCTATGCTATGTCATGCTGCGCCGTGCTATGCTAAGCTATGCTATGCTATGCTAAGCTGCGCTATGCTATGCTATGTTATGCTATGCTGGGCTATGCTATGATATGCTATACTGCGCTATGTTATGCTATGCTGTGCTCTGCTATGCTCAAACTCAGCGAAGCTAAGATGAAGGTAAGCTAGCTAAGATACACCTGAGCTAATATTAACCTAAGCTAAGCTAAGATGAAATAAGCTAAGCTAAGATGAGACAAACAACGCTAAGCTAAAGGGACGTAACTGGGGGAACCGCGGGGCGGATATTGGGGGAACCACCCGGGGCGGGCCCCACTGCCCGGCCCTTTAAGCTTACCGAGTGAGAACCCTTCTAGGCATAGCCTAGGTAGGGAATCATCCGGGAGAAATTGCCCGGAACAAATAATTCCGAAACAATCGCCCAAGAAAGGTCGCCCGGAAGAAGGTGTCCGGAAGAACTGGCCCGGAATGGGCGGCCCAAAGAAGAAATCGCCCAGGACAAAAACAACCGCGAGATCTCGCCCGGAAGAAATCGCCCGGTCGAAATCGCCCGGGAGAAGTCGTTCGAAAGAAATCGCCTGGAAAGAATCGCCCTGCAGAAATTGCCCTCGAAAAAACCGCTTCCGGAAGGAATCGGTCGGGGGAAATCCGCCGGGAGGAGCCGCCCGGAAGCGCCGTCGGACGAATCGGGTTCGAAAAATTGTCCACGACAATTGGCCGGGAACAGTTGCCCCGGAAGAAGTCGCCCGAGAGAAGCGGCGTCGGGGGAAATCTTTCGGATGAAAACGTCATCACAACATATTCTTCGGGGTCGTTCTGGTATCCGGGGCCGTTCGCAAGGGGGTCGGGGCGAAGCACTTGTCTTCGGGAAGTGGCCCAGACCTCTGGGGGTTTACTCAACGCGCGTTCTGGGAGGTTTGGCTGGCGATTCTGGAGGGGGAGGGCGAGGATGAGGCGGATCTGCATGTGCCCCATGAGAGTGATTCTTGCCGAATATTCTTCTGCTGCTGCTGATGGCGCGGGGGAGGAGGAGGAGGAAGAGGAGGAGTTCAGGATGAGGAGGAGGGGGGGGAAGAACAGGAGGAGGAGGAGGAGGACGAGGAGGAGGGGGAGGAGGAGGAGGAGAAAGAGGAGGCCACAGGGGGCACTGGAACCGATGCCTCTGCCTGCTCCTCGCAGCAAGGGCTGGCGTTGTCCCGAGATTGCTGGTCGGGGCGCGCCCCGCGAGATGTTGCGGGGGGAGCGCTCCCCCGGGGCCGGGAGGACTGCTGGAGGCCACAGGGGCTGACGCTGGCGGGGGCGCCGCTCGCCGCGCCGGCGCCCGGCGGCCTCCCCGACGCGCTGGGCGAGCGCTGAACGCCCTCCTGCCCTTCTCCTCCTCCTCGTCGTCGTCCTCCTCCTCCTTCTTCTTCTTCTTCTCCTCCTCCTCCTCCTCATCCTCCTCCCCCTCCTCACGCCTCCCTTCAAGTGTTCCTCTTCACCACAAGAGGTGCCCCCCTTGAAAGCTCAACGCCATGATGTGGGCCTGCCGTTTCGGCGAGGGTCCTGTCTTGAAAAGAAGCTGCCTTGCATGCCTCAGTCACGTACTTGGGACAACGAGAAGGCTTAGCACCATCCCCCTTTTGAGAAAGGACCGCGCCACATCTGTGTCAGGTAGTCACTAGCATGGTCATGAACTTCGAGGGGCTATCAAACGATAACACAACTTTTGAAAACACAACGCCCTTGATCCGTTGAGTGTGCATGTGTTGAAACTTCTGGTGTTGTGAAACAAAGAAGCCTCAAGCGGAACCCCAATTTAGGAAAAAACGCCATCCACCCTTCTGGCTGCTGCAAGCTTTTAAGACGAGTGTGCGCGGCGCTTTGGAGAAGGACCTGTCCTCCACCATTATAAGTGCTGCAACATGTTCAGACGAGCGTGCGCGGTGCAGAGGCGAGAGGCCAATTTTGAAAACGCCCCCCTCCCCCCAGTGGATCCCTGAAGGTGTTGCACGCTGTTAGAACCAATGTGCGCGGCGCTACAGCGCCGCCAGCCCAATTTTGAAAACGAACCGTCCACTACCCTCTTAACTTTTGCGAGATGTTTAAACGAATATGCGTGGCGCTATGGCGAACGCCCAATTGCGGAAAGGATCCTCTCCATTCTCGACGTTGTTGCGACCTCGTATAACGAATGTGCGCGGCGCTACGGCGAAAATCAACTTTTGAAAATCACACCCCTCCGTTTTCATCTTCCAAAATGATGTGAGCTTTTAAAACGCATGTTGCGTGGGCGAGTTGCACTTTGAAAACGCCCTGTGCTCCATTCGCGGGATAGTGTGAGTAGCTTTGAACATGCAGCCCAATTTGGAAAACGTCCCCCTTCATCCTTGAAGCTGGTGCGAAGTTGTGAGACTAATGTGCGCGGCGGTAGGGCAAGGGCCAAATCCTGAAAACGACCAGTGCTTCATCCTCGAAGCTGTTGCACATTTTCCAGCTTCAAGACCATACTCGTTGGGGAGATCTCGTGCAAAACGCCTGGTCCGCCCTACCGACACGTCTGAGGGTGCGGCCAGTATGAGTTACATCTTAGGAAAAGGGATGGGGGAGGAGGAGGAGGAGGAGGAGGAGGAGGAGGAGGAACAAATTCGGGAAGGAGCAAGAAGAGGACCCAGACTACTGTCAAGATCAGGACCCGCGACCGCGCTCGAGCAAGCAGACCTAAGTGGTCAACGTGCAGACTCCGCACCGTCGCGAGGCGCGGGTCGAGGGCGACGGCGAGTGCGCCGGCGTCGCCGATCGTCGTCTCGCCCCCGAACTTGCTCATGAGGAAGAGCATGAGCCTATGAATGTCTCACTCATTCTCGCCCCCCTCCCCCTACCCTCTCCCCTCCCTTCCTTCCGTCCACTCATCATCCCCCTCCCTCCCCCTCCTACAGCCTTCCACTCCCCTCATTCTCCTCCCCGCCCCATTCGTCCTCTGCCATGCCCCTCCCCTCCCCCCATCCCATCCCCTTAATCGCCCCTCCCCCCAAAAAGCTACCTGACACGAACACGACTGCCTCCCCTCTCCTGACACGGTGCCGCATGCTCACGCCTTTCTCGTATGTTTTGCTTGCGCAGGATGTCTGAACTTGTTATTTCCGATAACTTGTTTTTGATCAGACCGTTCTCGGTTCCCGCTGCAGCGATGGCCACACGTCAAGATCGGTGCCTGACTCCCGTCGCTCAGAATGGCGCCCTCGCCTCAACGCGGGCTACATATCTGGATCCGCTTATTTGCTTGCCATTGCCTCGATTTCTTATCCCCACCTCCCCCCCCGCTGATCCTCCTCCTGCTCTTCCTACTTCTCCTCCTCCTCCTAACTGATACTCCTCTTCATCCACGGCTGCCTCCTGCTCATCCGCTTCCTGCTCCTGCTCCACCCACTTATTCCTCCAGAGCTTTCTTTGTTTAATTCCTCCCCCTCTCGTTTACGCAACGATTGACGGGTCAAAGCCCGTAGCTGTCATTTGGAAACCGAGGTCTTCTGGAACACCAGTCGGCGGACAGAACATGATTCAACGCAATGGGAAGAGATGGACGGAATGGGGTGCGCTTTAAGTTGTGGCCTTATGCTGCGAACGCGCCTAGCTTGCCTCCATCCCCTCTCCTTCGATCTCCGCCATTCTCAAACAATTCATCTCCGTCACCGTGCCTCTGGGCATGGACTGGGCGTGTCCTCAGGCTCTTTGCCTACTCCCCTGGAGCTTCTGTCCTCGATCCTGAAGAGGTCTCAACTGGGCCCGGACCCCGAAGTCCGAACTCTCGCGAGGTTTGCCGCGGTTCCCCTGGGCTGCCCCGCGGCTTGCCGCATGCACTTGTCGGGCCCAAGAGGGCCCCAAGCCGCCGAACGATCGCTCCGAGACGCTCAAGATGACCCCCCAGGAGGCCTCCAAGACGGCCCAAGAGGTTTCCAGGTCTCCCAGGAGGGCCCCCAAAGGCACACATCATTCATTTCTCTAGAGGTTTGAAGGTTTTTGGCCTTCCCACTTTTTCGGCTTCCCGACGCTCCAAGACGGCCCAAGAGGCCCCCAAGATCGCCCCAAGAGGCCTCCAGGAGGGCCCCAAAGCGGCCCCGCCCAGGACGGCTGAATGGGGGCTCCGGGACTGCTCCAAAAGGGGCCCAATAAAGACGAACCGACATTCCGAGCCTTCTGCCCCAAGGGGCTCCCAGGAGGCGCCGAGGAGGCCCCGAGTGGCCCCCGGGAGGCGCCCAAGAGGCCCCAAAGAAGCCCCAAAGAGGCCCCAAGAGGCCCCGAAACGGCTTCCAAGAAGCCTCCAAGCTGCCTTCACGAGGCCCCCCGAGAGGCCTCCCAGGATATCCAAACGAACATCCCGCAGGACCCACAACCCAGGCACGCTGACGAGATGGGCCGAAGGCCATTCGATTAGATAGCGAAACCGAGGCATGGTGATGGGATGGGCCGAATGTTACTGGATCCGCCGCCCCCTGTTGATTCATCACAGGGGTGCCAGGCGTGCTGAATCCTTTCGCAAAACTCACAAGAACTCTCCCTGGGGCTTCAGCCCGTCCCGCCGGCCACCCGAAAAGAGACCTCAACGACCGCAAACAATTCTCCAAACAAGATGGCCTCTAAGCTGGTCGCGTTGGCCCGAGATGGCCTCCAAAATGGCCCAAGACGGTGTCCAAGTCGCCAAAGATGGTCCAAGATGGCTTCCAAGAGGGCCCGAGAGAGTCCAAGATGCCTTTAAGTTCGTCCAAGAAGCCTCCGAAACGGTCCAAGATGGCTCCAAGATGGCCTACGACTGGCCAAGAGGCCCCCAAGAGGTCTCCAAGACGTCCTCCAGGAAGGCCCGACAGGGCAAACATCATTGAGATTGCCCAGGTTTTTGAAGGAGGTTGGCATGCTTTTCTCATCAGCTCTCCGACGGCCCAAGAAGGCCCAAGAGACCCCCAACATCGTCTCAAGAGCGCCCAAGAGGCCTCCAAGATGGCGCCATGACAGCCCAAAAGGCACCCAAGAGGGCCCCAAGAAGAGCCCAAGACGGCCCAAAATGGCCCCGAAGATGCCGAAGATAGCCTCCAAGACGGCCAAGATTGCCTCCAAGATGCCTCCAAGACGATCAAGAAGGCCTCCAAGGCAGCGAAGATGGCCCCAACATGCACCCAAGACGGCCCCAGATGGCCTGAAGATTGCCTTAGACTGCCCCAAAGGCCCGCCAGAGGCCTCCAAGACGGCCCAAGACCCCTCCAGGACGTCCTCCAGGAGGCCCGAAAGCTCGCAAACCACCTGGTCCGATAGCTCGCCCGACTCCGTGCTCCCCGTAGGCTTTCGAAACCCACTCGGGGAACGCGTGGCCCGATAGCTTGGCCAAGTTCAAACCCAACTTTCGGCCACGCAGGCGCTTCAAGAAAGGCAGGGGGCGGCGGTGATTCGCCGTGGGCGTCTTCGATAACGATTCTCCCTCCTGATACTGCGTCCGCGTGCGTCCACCTCTTCCGGGTGTTGTTTCGCAAACGCATGGCCAACATTGATGCTCTAACTCATCTCAAGCCTCTTCGATCGGAACGTGCATGGTGACTCAACCATGACATTCCCGCTGTGTGCCACAGCGCCTGATGGTCCCATCCGACGGGATGGCGCTCGCGCCCCGGCGAGGGCCACGCTTTTGGGTCGGATTCGATCCTCTTCGCTGCCGCCCCCGCTTCACGCCTCGTGGGCCCTCCGCTGCTCCTCCTGCTCCTGTCTGCTCCCCCCCATCGGCCGCCGCCTGCGCACGATGCAAGCGGGCATGGAGTCCGACCCCCACGACCGCCCGAGGGATGGGGCCTTGCCCACCCCGCGGCCCCCTAGAGCTAGGGGCCGCCACGCCGACGAGGCGAGAGGCAGGAAAAGGCGAGAGCGAGGAGGAGGGGAAAAAGAGGAGGCGCCGGCCTCACCCGTGCTGCTCGAGGAGCAGCACTGACCACCGGGGGCCTGCCGGCGGACCGGCAAAGATCCAACGCACTGGGAAAAGATGGGCCGGAGAGCAGCAAGCCTTGTTGCGCGAACGCGCATCGCCTGGTGCGAACATAACTCGCTTGTCTTGCTGCGCCACCGCTTCTCCCGCCCAGTGCCCTTTCACACACACACAGAACTTCACAGGTGGGTGTCCCCAACGTTGTCTTCATATCGGAACGTTCTCGGTCCTTCACAGCCAGCTGCAGCTCTGGCTACATCTTGGGACTCTGTGCCTTGCGCCCCCGTCCTTCAGAACGGCGTCATCGCCCCAGCGCGGGCCACTCTTCTGGATCCGATCCACCCCTCGGTCGTTGCCGCCCTCCCTCGCCCGTCTTCCTCGGGTCCTTCCTTCCCTCTTCCTTCCCTCCGCCGCCCCCCCCCCCACCGCTTCAGCTGCACCACGCAGGAACGACCCCGGGTGAAGATTGGCCTCTGGTTCGCGGCTTTCGAGACGCCATGGGGGGGGGGGGGGCAGACCCAAGCGCGCAAGCCGCTGCTATCGCACGGCGCCCGGGGGGGTCCCTGGACGCCCGAGCCAAAGAGGTCCTCTGGGCGAAGGGCCGCTCCTTTCCTCCCCCGCTCGGCCTCGTTGCGAGCGCCCCCGCGGAGTCCTCGCACGTTCGGGGGGCCCCCGCGGCAGCGGCGGCGTAGGCGGTGAGCTCCTCGCGCGAGAACGCGGGCTTCTCGAACACGTCCCACGGGTAGATGAGGACCTCGGAGAGGGGAGGGGAGGGGGGGCAGGAATTCCATCTCCTCCCCCTCTACCCTCCTCCACCTTCCCCCCCTCCTCCTCCTCCTCCTCCTCCTCCCTCTCCTCCTCCTCCGCTTTCTCCTCCACCGCTTTCTCCTCCTCCTCCTCCGCCTCCGCCGCCGCCTCCGCCTCCTCCGCTGTTGTTTCCGCTGTTTGCCGCGCCATGAAGGTCCGCCCTCCTCCTCCTCCTCCTCCTCCTCCTCCTCCTCCTCCTCTCCTCCCTCTACAATTACACAACATGAATACTACTCTCCTGTCTCCCCTGATGAGTTCCGGAAGATGTTCGGTCCCCCTCCGCGTGCTGTGTGTTCTACTCACAAGATTCCCTGGAATTGGGTTTTCGTTTTGTTTTGTTTTGTAAAAATGTTGTCCGTCTGAAGCGCTGGTCTCATTTCCGCGCTTCCGCTCGTTCCGAATCGTGCTCCCGCTGCAACGCTGGCCTCATTTCCGCGCTTCCGCTCGTTCCGAATCGTGCTCCCTCTGCAGCGCTGGCCTCATTTCCGCGCTTCCGCTCGTTCCGAATCGTGCTCCCGCTGCAGCGCTGGCGTCATTATTTCCAGTGCCATGCCACGGCATGCAATGCAATGGTATTTGGTGTTCCGCTGCGCGATGCCATGCCTTCAGCTGCAATGCTAGGATATGCAATGCTCGACTACGCAGTGCTAGGATATGCAATGCTCGACTACGCAGTACCACGCCATGCTATGCCATGCTACGCTTTGATATTCAACGCCATGCTATGCCATGTTCTGTTCTGTGCCGCTGTACGATGCCATTATTTGCGTTGCAATGCTGTGTGATGCAATTCATCACTATGCAACGCCACGCCATGCTATGACCTACGCTCTGCCGTGCAGTTCTACGCCCTGCTATGCCGTGCTCTACGATGCATCGCGCACCCTCTCGGGATCATTGCCCTGCTCGACATTCGACTGTGCGAATAGAGAGGACATCTACGCAATGGTAAGAGCTGGGAGGGGGGGTAGGACGTCAGATATGACGCGGGCGCACCTAGCTTGACTTCCCCCCTCCTCCTGTTCCGCCCTCCGCCCTCCCTCCCTCCCTCTTTCCCCCGCCTCCTCCCTCCGCCCTCCCCCCTCGTCCCCCTTTCTCCTCTTTCCTCCTCCCTCCACCTTCGTCCTCCGATTTGCGCGTCAACGAATTGCGCGAGACGCCCAAACTGAAGGACGCACACCGCATACACACATCTCTCTCTATATATGTATATACATGCATACTTAAATGTACATATATATATATATATATACATCTGCATCCCAACCAACGTTTGCACGCAACGATTCTTACTTCTGCTCTGAAGAATTGGGCCGTGCCTGCGGTCTGGCGGCTATGTGGCCGCCGTCGCCGCCCCGTCGCCGACTCGACGCCGCCCGTCGTCTAGGTTCTAGGCCCTGTCTTCGGGCTGGCGGCTATGTGGTCGCCGTCGCACCACCGTCGCCGCCTCGCCGCCGTCCGTCGCCTGTGCACGTGTGTCGGTCTGGCGGCTATGTGTCCGCCGTCGGCACCCCGTCGCCGCCCTAGATTACGTGACAATGATTGCACCGCAAAAATTGCACCACAAAGGTTGCACTGAACATATTGAATCTATTCTCCTTTCTAAAACAGATAGACTCTCCCCCCCTCCCCCGGACTTAGTGGTACCAATTCGCGTATTGCGAATATTATGCACAATCGTCCATCTTAAATATGAACTTATACCTCCCGGCTACGCCTGCCCCCTCATCCTCTGCAACAGATGCTATGCGCGCGCACTCGTTTTCCACAAATCGTCAATTGGGCCTGCCCGATGAACCCTCTGATCGCGCTGGGCCCCCGGGCGGGAGCCCTGCAAAAAGCCCTGGGCAGCCTGCCCTCATCTGACCCTCCCCCCTTCTTGGCGGAATTGTGGGGCGCTGAGAGTCGGGACCGGCAAGCCGCTCGCGAGCACGATGTGGGCGGCCTCTGGGTCCCCGAGGGCGTTCGCCTCGGCCCACGCGGAGCTGTTGCCGCCCGCGGAGACCGCGCCCCCCATCCAGACCAGCCGGCCCAGCTTTTCGCGCCAAACGTCTGGCCGAGGGGGGCAGCAGGGGGGTGAGGAGGAGGAGGAGGAGGAGGGGGAGAGGAGGAGGAGGGGAGGAGGAGGAGGAGGAGGAGGAGGAGGGAGGAGGGAGGAGGAGGAGGAGGAGGAGGAGGAGGAGGAGGAGGAGGAGGAGGAGGAGGAGGCGGAGGAGGAGGAGGGAGGAGGAGGAGGAGGAGGAGGAGGGGGAGGAGGAGGAGGGGAGGAGGAGGAGGAGGAGGAGGAGGGGGAGGGGGGGAGGAGAAGGCGGATGATAATGATGATGATGAGGAGGAGGAGGCGGAGGAGGAGGAGAAGGAGAAGATGGAGGAGGAGGAGGACCAGGAGGAGGAGGAGGCGGAGGAGGACCAGGAGGAAGACCAGGAGGAGGAGGAGAAGGAGGAAGAGGAGTAGGAGGAGGACGGGGGTGGGGAGGGGGGGAGGAGAACGAGAAAGAGGCCTGGCGATTGGGGTTTGGCCCGTGGATGACCGCGTGGAGACGCAAGCTTTGCCTTCGCCGTGCGCCTGCTCCTCCTCCTCCCCCTCTTCGTCCTCCTTTTCCTCATCGGCCCATCCTTCTCTCCGCCCCGCCCCCGTTCCCCCCTGTTCTTCTGCTCAAACTCGGGCTCGAGCCCTTTCAGGATCCTTGACGGCTCGCGCCTTCCCCAGGGCTCATGGCCATTGTGCTGCTGGCTTGAGCGCTTCCGCTGGGTGTGCGGCAGTGAACACTGGGGATACCTGTGCATAGTATCAAAGAGCCCAGAGTTCCCGAGTTCCCGAGCACCTCGTCAACGCGACCTCGGGGCGCGCGTTGCAGCCTTTGCAGCGCATTTTGGCTCACTCGACGTTTTTCTTGTCGATGGCGGACTCGCAGCGCTGGTTCTGCCACCCGCCGCCCCCGCCCCCGGCTCATGGCTGCCGGCAGCCCGCGGAGGTGGAGCAGGACGTGCCGGCGACGGTGAAGCAGCTCCTGCGTTGGGAGCGCCTAAGCCTCGCTGTGGAGGCGCAGACGGCTTCGAAGGTGCAGTCCGACACGCAAGTGAAGCCACAAGTGGAGGTTCCGGTGATCTCGCCAATTTCTCCCCCGCCTGGGGATTTCAGCTTGTATCCCAGCCCAATAGCTGCGGTGTGGGCGGTTTCGCCTCCCGGCAGGGCCTTGGCGGCGGATGCGGCGACGTCTTCGGCGGCGCAGGGTACCTCTACGAGCACTTCTACTCCACTGGCGCCCAGGAAGGGGCGTCGCAAGCACATGCTGAGCGACTACGCGCGCATCCTCCAACGCATGACGGAAGAGCCCACGGGTCAGGAGCCAGACAGGGCGGAAATCGCAACTTTGGCGATGGGGTGGTGGCCCCACTCAGCCGCCTGCTCCGTGTACACCGCCGGCACCCCAGACTCCGCCAGTAGAACGAGGATCCCACGGACGCCACCTCGGAGGCGGAGACCTTCTACACTGGCGACAGGCCTCTGCCCGATGTTGGTGGCGAAGGTGCAGCCCCCGACATGTCAGCCCTGTGAGTGGCGGTGTCACGCTTGACGGCTCTGGCACGTCAGCCGACAGTGGCGGTGACTTGGAGTCGCATCTCGGTGCAGGCACGTCAGCCCGCAGTGGCGGTGTCCAGGAAACGCCTTCCCATAGTGGCGGTGTCCATCTCGAGTGGGATGATTGTTCCTCGTCTTCTTCTTTACCCTCGCTGACGGCTGGCGTTACGCACGATGCCCCGAAGAATATGAAGAAGAATCGGCGCAATAATATCAAGAAGGTGCGTTCGCATGTTTTCGAGCCCGTCTTGGAGCAACAACTAACTTCTGAGGCTCCTCCTTACACGAATCTTTCCCTTTTCGAGGCCTCCCATGAGAACCTCGCCACGGACATTCAGTCTGGAATCCTTTCACAAGATGCGAGAGAGTTCGACGACACGGATGTTGATTTGCTAGGCCGCTTCGCTGATGGCGAAACTGTGCTCTCGGAATTGCAGCTGCAACCGTCGCTGAGGGCACCGGCTTTGGAGGTCGCCTCTCGGCTGATGGCAGCCGGTGCGAATTCGAATGTGCATTCCTGCCCATTGTGCAGGGCCTGGCGACGCAGCAGACATGTCTACTCTGGGTTTTTTGTCTCAATGATGGCTGGACTTCATGCTTCCCTGGCCTCTTTTAGACATTCACATCTTCCTGCTTGCCAAGCTCTCCAGAAGCTTGTCACTGCAGCAATCTGCAGCAGAAAAAAACCCTGTCCTTCTGCTGCCCCCCTTCTTCGTCCCCGGCTTCCTCCTCTTCCTCCTCCTCCTCCTCCTCCTCCTCCTCCTCCTCCTCCTCCTCCTCCTCCTCCCCCTCCTCCTCCTCCTCCTCCTCCTCCTCCTCCTCTCCTCCTCCTCCTCCTCCTCCCTCCTCCTCCTCCTCATCCTCCTCCTCCTCCTCCTCCTCCTCCTCCTCCTCCTCCCCCTCCTCCTTCCTCCTCGACGAGGGCCTTTTGTACTCGACGCAGGATCTCTGAGGGGCAGGAGCGGCGCGAGAGGCGGCCAGCGGCACGATGGAAAAGGCGAAAAGGAGGGGGGCGGGGCCGCCCGGGGTGTGCGCCCAACCAACGCGCGGCGCAGACATTGGGAGGTCGACTGGGGGGGGGGGAAGGAACAGATAGAGAGAGAGAGAGAGAGAGGGAGAGAGAAAGAGAGAGAGAGAGAGAGAACACGAAAAAACAAAGAGAATGAGATAAAGAGAGAGAGAGAGAGGATTCTGATGATGACGACGATGATGATGATGCTGCTGCTGATGATGATGCTGATGATGACGATGATGCTGATGCTGCTGCTGATGATGCTGCTGATGAGGCTACAGAGATGGATAAATATATATATATATATATATATATATATATATATTATATGTAAGCACCGACATTTTATACATATAAAATATGTCTACGGGCCCCCTCATTTGTTGTTTGCCCTTCTGCCTCTCCAGTACTGTTTCCTGCCTCCCGTTCACTGTCTGCTAAGGGGCCCCGCCGCGCCACCAAACAGCCGAATCCAGGCTGCTCTGGGCCACCCCGGGATTCTCATGGTGACGCCACCGCGCGGCCAGAACGGCCCGAGAGGCTTCCAAGATTGCCCGACGAGGTTCCGAAGAGAGCCTCAGGAAGCCAAGACGGCCCAAGATGGCCCCCAGATGTCCCACGATGGCCCCAAAACGGCCCAAGATGCTCCCAAGACGGCCCAAGATGCCTCCAAAAGGCCTCCCAAATGGGAGACTGCGCTGCGGCCTGCCGCCGTGTGGTCCCCCCGTCGCCCATCTTCTCCGCTTGGATACGTTCATATTCACTTGTGGCGAAGGTGAGACTGTGGGGCCCGCAAAACCTCACCAATGCGTCCTTCGACTTGGTGGGCTGGGAGCGGTGCTTGGTGATATTTTCGTTCAGTGTCAAATCGGCGGTTGTGCGCGATTTCGTTGTAGGCTGGCGTGGCGCAGTCGCCAACCCCCCGCAAGGATGGCGGCGACGCAAGCCTCCTTGTGTGCAATATTGGGTTCGGCAGAGGTGCGTCTGATGCCTTTGCCGCGGGGCGCCAGCAACGTCTTCTCGAATTGGCACGCGTGCGGCGAAATCCTTTTGTCGCCATCGCGGCGGCGTACAAGTACACAAGACACGCATCAATACCGCGCTGTAGGACGCGGCTCCAATCTTCCCTGCCGGGGAACGGGTGCGGGGGCGGTACGCGTCGCGGTTCGCCCTGAGTACATATGCTTTCGAACCATGACTCGAGAGAGATCAGGAGAGAGAGAGAGAGAGAGAGAGAGCGAGAGAGAAAGAGAGAGAGAGGAACAACAACACAGAGCGATCTCTCTCTCTCTCTCTCTCTGCATATCTGCAGTCTAGGGAGAGAAACAAAAGACAACGAGAGAGAGAGAGAGAGAGAACAAACGAGATACAGAGGGACGCGGGAGGTGAGGGAGAGGAGGCGGGGGGAGAGAGAAGGGAGGGAGGGGGAGATGGGGAAGGTAAGGAGGCGAGGGGAGGGGAGATGATGGATGGGGATAGAGGGAGGAAAAGGGCGTGGGCAAAGGACGCGAGAACACTCGCCCTCAGGAGGGCCTGGGTCCGTGCGAATGGCCACCGCCACGTTGGTCAGCGGGCCCAACGCCACGACGGTGACGGGTGAGGCCGCGGCCCGCAGCGTGTCCAGCAAGAGCTGTACCTCTGTTTCTCTGGACCGCGTCTCCAAAGCTTGTCAAGGAGCAATAAGCCCATGCGCACTGCGGCGACCATGAGCTCACTGCGCCGCTTGCACGAAAGGTGCTCCTGGAAAATACAATGGAGGTCAGTCCACAAGAAACCTTGCACAAGAAACCCTACCCAGAGACCACAGGACGTCCATTGATTTTTGGTGTGGGAACGTCACGTTTTCCATGCCACAACCATCGACACCCAAGAAACCCAGGGCACCCAGGAGGCAAGCAGGGTGCTTCCTGGCATGGGCCTCGACTGTAAATCCAAACCGACGCCATCGTGACTCGTGGCTGCTGGCTCCACCAGGAGTGCCTGATGCGGCCTGACCGCCACTGCAGGAGGAGGGGGAGGAGGAGGCGGAGGAGGAGGAGGAAGAGGAGGAGGAGGAGGAGGAGAGAGAGGAGGAGGATGAGGAGGAGGAGGAGGAGGAGAGGAGAGGAGGAGGAGGAGGGGGAGGAGGGGATGAGAGAGGAGAGGAGGAGAGGCGGAGGAGGAGGAGGAGGCGGGGCGGGGCGGAGGCGGAGGCGGAGGCGGAGAGGAGGGAGAGGAGGAGAGGAGGAGGAGGAGGAGGAGTAGGAGGAGGAGGAGGACGAGGAGGAGAGGGAGGAGTGAGGGGAGGCTCGGAGGCGGAGGAGGAGGAGGAGGAGGGGGGATGCGGAGGAGGAGGAGGAGGAGGGGATGAGGAGGGGAGGGGGGGAGGGGGAGGAGGAGGAGGAAGGAGGAGGAGAGGAGGAGGAGGAGGAGGAGGAGGAGGAGTAGGAGGAGGAGAAGGAGGAGAGGGATGATGATGAGAGTATGATGATGATGATTGATGATGGAGATGAGATGATGATGAATGATGAGATGATGATGATGCTGATGATGATTGATGATACTGATACTGATATGATGATTATGATGCTGCTGATGATGATGATGAATGATGAGATGATGCTGATGCTGATGCTGTGCTGATGATGATGAGGAGAGGATGAGAGGGAGGAGTAGGAGGAGGAGGAGGAGAGAGGAGGAGGAGGGGGAGGAGAGGAGGAGGAGAGGAGAGGAGGAGGAGGAGGAGGAGGAGGAGGAGGAAGGAGGGGGAGAGGGGGAGGAGGGGGGGGAGGGGGAGGAGAGGAGGAGGAAGGAGTAGGAGGAGGAGGGGAGGAGGGGCAGGAGGAGGAGGAGGAGGAGGAAGGAGGAGGAGGCGAGGGGGAGAGGAGGATGAGGAGGAGGAAGGAGGAGGAGGAGGGGAGGAGGGAGGAGAGGAGGAGAGGAGGGGAGGAGGAGGGGGGGAGGGAGAGAGGGGAGAGGGGGAGGGGGGGAGGAGGGGGAGGAGGAAGGAGGAGGAAGGAGGAGAGGGGATGAGGAGGAGGAGGAGGGGAGAGGGGGAGGAGGGGGAGGAGGACGAGGAGAAGGAGGAGGAGGGGGAGGAGGGGGAGGAGGGGGAGGAGGTATGAGGAGGAGACGGAAGAACCGCGGGGCCGCATGGGGCCTTGGAGCGCAGCCTCCTCCCGTGCCTCGGGGCGCCTCTCCCTCTCGGGCGGTGCTCGCGCTGTGGGTCGGCGGGCGGCGGGAGGGGGGCGCAGAGAGGTGCACCCTTCTCGTGCACCTTCGGGGTCCCCGGGGGCCCCCCCTTCCTGTCACTGTCGGTCCCCCCCTCCTGGGAGGACTGGACAATCGTTGCCCTTGACGTCCACTTCCCATCATCGGGGACGGACAGAAGCCCCTTGAGTAAAACGTGCCTCAGTGAAGACGTGGTTTACTGAAAACTGGAAAATGGCGGCCGCGGCGCCCTCTCGAGAGCCGAACACGGACAGTCCGCGATCCGGCGTGTCAGGGTGGGGGTCCTGTCCCCCCCCGACCTCGCCTGCTTGGGCCCCGCTGCGCATCGCCCCGCCCTCCGCGTGCCCGCGCCCTCGGGGCCTTGAGCCCTTGGGCGCGGCCGCGGCGCCCCGCCTGGCGCCCTCCCCCCCCCCCCCGGGGGGCACCGCGTGCCGGCCGTCGCCCGCCCGGGCGCTGGGGGGCAGGGGGGGCCGAGCGGAGGGCCCGAGCCACCCCGCGGGGCCGGGTGTGTCGGGAGCGGCCAAGAGGGGGGTGTCCAAGAGGGGGGGGTGCAAATCATGACCGGCGGCATGTGCGCGGCCCAGCGGGGGGGCCAGGGACGTAATGAAATAAGAAGAGGCGCCATGAAATCTGTGGAAATATCATGGCCCCCGCCATGATATCCACCCCCCCCCTAGTCATCACCCCCCTCTTTTCCGCCCCCGAGAGTGTTGCTGGAAGCACCCCTGGCCCAAGGCACCCCCGGGATTCTCGGGGTGGCCCAGATGGCCTCTAGAGGGCACCCCTCACGAGGCCCGGAGGGCCCCAGGGGCTCCCACATGGAGCGAACAGCTGGGGGTACCTCGGGCCAGGGGCACTTCTAGCAGCACCCGACGGGGGGGCGCTTCCCCCCGAGAGAACTCGGCGAGAAAGATTGATCGGGCTCGAAACATGCAGCACAAAGATGAAACCCAGGATCCAGGACTCAGGTCGAGTTTCGCTACCGTGTTGCAATGTTTCGCAGAATCTGGCCCCGTCGGGAAAACTCGATGCGGATTTCTGCTCGCCGTTTTCGGGCGTGTTCGTCGGCTCTTGACGGAATTCTCGCCTCGGAATGCCTTCCAGCAGCTGCGCCCCGCCGGGAGCGTTCTGGGGTACCAGAAATCATCCCGATCGTCCCGCAGGCGTCGACCTACTCCGCGGCGAGCCCAGGGGGGAAGTGAGAAGGAGAAGGCCTTTCCAGAAGGCTCAGAAGCCCTCGCCTCGCGCCTTCTGAGAAGACCCCTGTGTCTTCGGGGAAGGCTAAGAGACAACTTCTCGGAAGGCCGGGGGGACTTCCGAACCTTCTGGGAAGGCCCGCCCCTTCTCACTTGCCCCTGGTCACGTAATGTCGGAGGAGGAGTGAGGAGGAGGAGGAGGAGGAGGAGGAGGAGAGGAGGAGGAGGAGGAGGAGGAGGGGAGGAGGAGAGGAGAGGAGGAGGAGGAGGAGGAGGAGGAGGAGGAGGAGGAGGAGGAGGGAGGAGGAGGAGGAGGAGGAGGCAGCCGAAAAACGCATGGGACGGGGATGCGGGCTGCTCCCTTCGGGTTCCGAGGGGCAGGCACATCCCCGGCTGGGGTGGTGGGATGGTGGGGATCGGGAGGAGGAGGAGGAGGAGGAGGAGGAGGAGGAGGAGGAGGAGGAGGAGGAGGAGGAGGAGGAGGAGGAGGAGGAGGAGGAGGAGGAGGAGGTACCGATTCGGAGGCAAGTCCTGGAGGCGGGTCCTCGGCCGCGGCCGTGCGGACTGGAGGATACAACTACTGCGCGCCGCGCGAGGCCTCAAAAGGGTTCTCCCCACGGGCAGCCGACGCACACCGCCGACGACGTGATCTCTCGGGGCGCGGCGCCCCCTCCCTGGGGGCAGCGTTGCGCTCTCACCCTGTTTTTGTTTGTGGGCGAAGAGCGGTCAGAAACATCCCCCGCCCCGCATCCGGGACGCCTGCCCCAGGGCGGCTGGAAAAAACTTACACCCTGACGCGTCACCGTGGGGGCAAACCTTTCCAACCGCCCTGGGGCAGGTGTCCCCGATCGCGACCACAGTGTCTTTTGCACCGCTCTTCGACCACTACGAGGGCGAGCCCCAATGGGCCGAGATTGAGGACAAATGAAAAAGACGGACAAAATCATGTCGTTGGGGATCTGGGGGGCCTGACTTCGGATCTACCTTACTTCTGGGCAATTTCTGGAAAACAGGGCGGGGAAACTTGCCCTACTTGTCAATCTCCTTCGATGCGGATCTCCGCCCGGCCTTGCCGTCGCTGTTTCCGCCGCACCTTCGGTCATGCCCGCCCGCCCTACTGGTTCTGAGGCGGACATTTCCGCCTTACTTTTTCCCATCGTTCGGGGGGCATTCCGGACACAGTTGTAAGTCGGATAATCAAGGGCTCCCAGCTTCGCGCTGCGCGCTGCGCGAAGCGCGAAGTGCGAATAACTTCGCGCTCTCGCGCCGCCTCCCAGGGGAGAAGAGGAAGATGAGGAGGAATCGGAGCCGAACCGCGAAGCGCGAAGCGCGAATAACTTCGCGCCCTCGAGGGCGCCCTTGGATAATCAGCCGAAGTATGGCGGATCCGAAGTCAGCGGGGGCGCGTGGGGTGCTCCCGGGGGCGGCTGTGGGCCCTCTCGCGTCTGGAGGTCTGCCAGCCCGTCGTGGCCCATGATGTCGGGGCACCTCGAGGCAGGACTGACGCCACCCCGGCCCCACGAGATGGAGGGAGAGAGAGAGAGAGAGAAACAAAAAAAGTGAGGGAGGGATAGACGAGAGAGAGAGAGAGAGAAACAAAAAAAGAGAGGGAGGGATAGAAGAGAGAGAGAGAGAGAGAGAAACAACTACAATACAAATAAAGAAACAGTTATGCAACGCCGAGCAGGTCGAACAGCCGTCGGATGTCCCGCCTTCTGAAAACACCCGCCCTCTGTCTGTACTCGGCTTGCGGAGTGGGGGATCCGTTCAGGGTCCGGTTTTCCGCCGCCGCGACGATCGGGCAAAAGACGGATCACGTTCCAGACCCCGACGACTTCAGCGCGCGGTGGGTGTGGTAAGCACTGGAGCCGCCGAAATCTGGGCAGGCCATCCGCGTGGCGGCTGTTCAATTTGTGGATCATCGGGGCCTTGGGGTCGAGCCGCTCCTTGGAGCTTTCTCCTGCTGCATCCCCCTCCTTCCCCCCTCCTCCTCCTCCTCCTCCTCCTCCTCCCTCCATCCTCCTCCCCCTGTTCCCCCCTTCGCACACAGCCGCAGTCCGTCTCGCCGGAACCGTGCATGACTCGTCCCGCCCCCCGCCGCTCAGCTGCCGTTCGCGCCGTTCCGTTGCCCCTGCTCGGCGCCGACAGCCCAACTAAAGGGAAATTAGGACACACAAATAAATACACACAAATAAAAATACTCCCCATATTTTCCCATATTTTCTGGGTTTTTGTCTTCCCCCCAATTCCCATATTTTCCCTTATTTTCCTGGGAATCGAAGATTAATTGTGTCTGTGTGTTTTTTTCCCTCCTGAATCTCGGCTTGGAGGTCGGCGCGCCGGCGGCCGATGGACACGGCACCCGCGCGCACCACGCCTGGGCGGAGGCGCCCGCACCGGGCGCTTTCGCACGAGGGAGCGCCGTCCGAGCTGCGGGGCCGCTCGGCCAAGGCGCCCCTCGGGCTCCTTAGGCGAAGGGCAACGCGGCCATGCCTGGGTGCTAGCTCTGATGCTTCTCGCCCCCGCTCGCCGCAGCGCCGGGCAGCAGGGGTGGGGCCAACCCCGCGGGAAAGGCGGCGTGGCGGTCAATCACGTCCAGGAGGTGCCGGCGGCTGCCGCCGGGCCACCAGACCACAAGATCCATGAATCGTTCGTGCACCACGCTATCGCTGACGCGATGGAGCTCTGGGGTTGCCGCCGTTGGCGCAACGAGAGCGCCAATAGACAACACATGTTTTACGATCCGCACCACCGGAATCATATGGCATCTCCGTGCGCCCGAACGGCATTTCTGCAACGCGCAGGTCAAAACCCATCCCCCCCTCCCTCACCCCACTCCACTCCGCTCTACTCCACCTCCTCTCCTCCTCCACCTCCTGCCCTTTTCCGTCTCTTCCTATTATTCAGTCCTCCTCCTCCTTCTCGTCCTCCTCCTCCGCCTCCTCCTCCTCCCTCATTCCTCCACCTCCTCCCCCCACGGCCCCAAGGGCCCCCCAAATGGACCAGCACCCGCGAACGGGACCCCTTGGGGCGGAGGGAATGGTCGATCCGATCGCACCCGCGCGCCAGTGACACCGCCGCCTTCGGTGTGGGGCCCCACCTGACGGGGCCCCTCGCCGAAGGCGGCCCCACCTGATAGGGCTCCTCCTGCCGCCTCCCCGTCCTTGTTCGCTCGTTCCTCGTCGCTTCTCCCAGCTCTGTCGCCCGCGGACCTGGCAGACCCGACGGCTCCAGGGGGACTCCCCGCAGCAAGGCTGTCCGGGCTGCCCCCTGCCCCCGCCTCTCTCCTCCCTCCTCCTCGTCCTCCCGCCTTTTCCTCCATCCTCCTCCCTTTGCCTCCATCCTCCTCCTGCGTCCCTTTCCCTTCTGAATAGCTCCTTCCCATCTCACCACAAAAAGGGTCAGCAGGGCGGGCCAGGTATTTCGCCTGAGACTTCCTCACCATTTATGGCCCTGAAACTTGACAGTTGGAACAGTTTCACTGATAGAGGGTGGGCGATTTTCAAAATGTGGCTCTCGCCGTAGCGCCTCGCACACTCGCCTCAAACATCCTGCAGCAGTTTCACTGAACGAGGAAGGAGGGTTTTCAATATGTGGCGTTCGCCTTAGCTCTACACATTTTCATCTTAAACCTGTATATAGAAAATACAAAGATGGAGGGCGGTTCTGTTTCAAAACGTGGTTGACGGATTAGCGCCGCGCAGGTTCGTCTTAAAAGTTTGCAGTCGCTTCAAATATGCAAGGCGGTCCCTTTTCAACATGTGGCTTGCCTTAGAGTCGCTCCCATTCGTCTTGACAGTTTTCTACTGGTTCACGGGTTCGCATCGTTGAAATCCCAGGGATGGCTTTCTGGCACGACTGAGGATTTGAGGATTGTCAGGACGCAACTGTCACATTGATTCGCGGTGCTGAAGTCCTGTGGTCTGGCACGATTTCGGACCATCAGGACGCAATGGTCACGTTGATCCGTGGGGCTGAATTCATAGGACATGCGTTTTCACACTACTGGGGATTCCCAAACGGTTGTATTCTAATGGCCACGTCCCACATTGATCATACAATATTGTAGACACATGTTGAATGAGGGTGTATTGTAACATCGTCGATGCGTCCTGGGTTAACACCGGCCCTTTTTTTTTCTTCTCCTCCCCCTCCGCCTCCACCTCCTCCTCCACCTCCTCCTCCTCCTCCTTCTCCTCCTCATCCTCCTCGTCCTCCTTGTCCTCCTCCTCCTCCTGCTCCTTCCTCCTCCTCCTCCTGCTCCTTCTTTTCCTCCTCCTCCTCGTCCTTCTCCTCCTCCTCCTTCTTCCTCCTGCTCCTATGACTCCTCCCTGTCACACCCCGAAGCCAGTTTTTAGGGCGGGCCTGGCGTTTCGCCTGAGACTTCCTCACCACTTCTGACTCTGAAACTTTAGAAATGACAACAGCTGCACAGATGGAGGGCGGGTGGTTTTCAAAATGTGGCTCTCGCCTTAGCGCCGCGAACACTCGTTTTCAAAATTGGCAAGAGTTTCGCGGATTGAGGGCGGGTCATTTTCCAAATGTGGCTCTCGCCTCAGCGCCGCGCACATTCTCTGTAAAAATTTGCCAGAGTTTCACTGATTGAAGGCGGGTGGTTTTCAACATGTGGCTCTCGCCTAGCGCCGCGCACATTCGTTTTCAAAATTTGCAACAAGAATTTCACTGATTGAGGGCTGGTGGTTTTCAAAATGTGTCTCTCGCCTTAGCGCCGCGCGCATTCTTTGTAAACATTTGCAAGAGCTTCACTGATTGAATGCGGGTGGTTTTCAACATGTGGCTCTCGCCTTAGCACCGCGCGCAGACCCTTTAAACATTTGCAAGAGTTTCACGGATTCCCAGGACCAACGTACCACAAACTATAACCCAAGGAAGCATTTAAGAACCCCCCCGGCGATATCTTAGCACCGCATTTTTATTCGATATTCCGAGGGGCCGAAATAACCGCACGGTAGGTTTAGCACCCGGACACACAACAAATTCGCGGAGGCCTGGCCCCTGGGCTACAATCGAAATTCGAGGAGGAGGAGGAGGAGGAGGAGGAGGAGGAGGAGGAGGAGGGGGCAGGAGGAAGTTCGTGGGTGGAGGAGAGGAGGAGGAGGAGGATGAGGAGGAGGAGGAGGGCTCCTGGTGCCAGGTAACGCTTCCAGGGTGCGGAAGGGTTATCGATTTGCCGGAAGTGGGGGGGGGGTTCTTAAATGCTTCCTGGGGTTACGTTGGAGGGATTCAGGACTGTGCGGGCAAAACAAGTATGTTGATTCACGGTGTTGAAGTCCAACAAAAAACATTATGGCGCGATTCCAGATCGCCAAAATGCAGCAGTCAAGTTGATACGTGGCGCTGATATCCCGGGAACAATGTTCTGGCATGATTCAGGATCTTCAGAACGGTTGTCTTCCATCGGGGCAGTTCTCTCAATGGAGATGAACCGTTGTAAAGGCCTATGAAGAGGGAGCTTGGAGGGAGGGTTAATTCCAACACCGTTGATGACTCTTGCGTTTACCTGTTCTCCTCCTCCCCTCCTCCTCCTCCTCCTCCTCCTCCTCTCCCCTGGTGGCGTCCGGGGAAATTCAGGAGCGGCAAAGAGGGGGGTGACGAAGAGGGGGGGGAGAAATTCAGGACCGGACATTCCGAATGTCCGGCCCGCTCTTTTACTCACAAGATTCCCGGGAGTTTGGCTTTCGCTCGGGTTTTGTTTCACAATGCTGCTCTCGCTGAAACGCTGGCCTCATTTTCGGGCTACCGTTCATTCCGAATCGTGCTCCCGCTGTAGCGCTGGCATCATTTCCGCGCTTCCGCTCGTTCCGAATTATTTCCAGCGTCATTCGGCATGGTTTTTGGCTCAAGGGCTCAATTTGGCTCAAGGGCACTCCGCGCGTTGGGCACTCCGCGCATTTATTCGGGTCCACTCTTGCCGATCCCCAGAGACCGACGCCTGCCATGCCGGCGAGCACGCGGCAGCCAGGCACCCCAGTGCGTGGAGTGCTAGGCGGGGCGCCCTCTGTTGCAGCGCCAGTTGAAGTTGTGGACATTGCTACTCCTGCCTCTCCTGCCACTCCTGTCGACAAGCGGGCCCGCCTTAGTAGCCCCCTGGGCGACTTGGACGACGACGACCTGCTGGACAACGGGGGTAAGGTGAAAGACAGGCGGTCCGCGAGCCCGATCCGGCAGCCGGACTTTTCGAGTGCCGAAGCCGCCATCATGGACACGGAGCCCGTGACGATGGGCGGGATCGCCAAGCTACTGCAGCAGCAGCCGGCACCTATGACATCTGTGGTGGACGCCCTGCGCCGCGACTTCGGCAAGCTAGAGGTTCAGGTCACGTCCCTCGGCGAGACCCTGTCCGGCCGCGTGGAGGACGTGGAGGCGGCAATCATCAGCACCGACCTGCGCGTAGACAAGCTGGAGGACATGATGCGGCAGGCCCCCCTGACGAGCGAGGCAGTGGAGGCTATGATCGACAGCCTTTGCAAGGAGCTCTTGTTGAATCGCACTTCTTCTTCGTCGGTCACCGCGCCCCCCACCTCCAACGGCCAGATGACGAACAAGCGCTTCGTGACGATGGTCGTTGGCAACGTGGACGGCTTTGGCGACCTCTCCCAGGCCACCGAGTGGTTGGAGAAGACGTTGGCGTCCCTCTCAGCCCCTCCACCGTCTAAAATTTACAGCAAAGGGGCATTTAGCGGAATCGTGTTTGCAGAGTTTCTCAACGCGGAGGCGCGCGACAAGGCAGTGGAACTCCTTCGCAAGGCTGGCTGCGCAAACGGAAACAAGAAAATTCGGGCCACTGAAGACCGGTCTGCGCCAGAGCGTGCCGCCCGGAACTACTGCCTCGGACTGAAGCGCATCCTCAAGGGCGAGTGGTCGGTGCCCTACAGCATTTCGGTCAGCAGCGAAGCGCCTTACATCGTGACTGTCGGGGGCGAGCACGCGCTCACCGTCAAGGTCGTTGGCAACTCCGTGGAGTACAATTGGGAATGCGAGTGGGCCACCTGGTCCGAGCTACACGACAATCCGCTGATCAAGGACCTCGCGAAGAAGGCAGATGACCTCCTCAAGCGAGCGGCCAAAGGTACCAAAGGGAGCGCCAAAGGGGGTGCTAAGGGGCAGGGGCCCCATTAATAGGACGTACGGCGCATGAGCAATGTTTCGCCCGTTTCACCGGCAGTCGGCCCGACTGCCCGTATGAACCACGACCAGCTGCGAATTCGTTCTTGCCAACACTCGTCCGCAGCAGCCGGCAATGCTGCTGTATTATTTCATCCTGCTCCCCAGCATTCCAGTAGAGCTGAGGAGGCGCTTCGGTTACGCGGGGGCCCCCTTCGCCCTTGCTCTCGGCAGCTCCCGGTGGCGCCCTGGAACGTGGGGGGCTACGCGGACGCAAAGCAGCTAGAGCTGGAGTGGCACATGGCCCACCTCAACGTCGACATTCTCTGCGTCCAAGAGACGCGCAAGGCCGGGTGCGACTATCATGTCGCAGAAAGCGGTTTCCTTACCATCTTCTCCGGCACCGCCGCAGACCAGGAGGAGACGGCCGGGGTCGGTTTCATTGTCGCCCCTCGTCTTCGCCACAGCGTGGTCGGCTTCAGACAGGAGACGGCCCGCATGGCTTACTTGAAGCTGCGAGTCGTTGGCGGCAAGATGGTGGTCTGCAGCGCGTGCGCCCCACACAGCGGCAAAGCTTTTGAAGACCGGCGGGCTTTTTACAGCGACCTCAGTACTTTTCTTTCTGGTATATCGTCCCATGGTCCGCTACTGGTTCTGGGTGATTTCAATGCTCGGCTCCGCCGCCGTTTCCCGCAGGAAGAGAGCATCATGGGCCCCTGCGTGTTCGGCAATCCCACGGCTGAGTGCAATCCGGCTTCCAATCGGAGCCTGCTGGCAGAGGTCTGCACCAGACACAGACTGTTCATAGGAAACACGCGTTTCGATCACCCAGCTGACCAGCAGATCACATGCTGCAACGTCGGGAAGACGCCGCCTGACATGCCCACACCTGAGAATTTCGGACAGATTGACTTCTTGTTGATGTCACGGGAGTGGTTGGACAACTTGATTTTCCTGACTAGTGACTGGCGGCGTGCCTTGGCTTCGCGCCATTTTCTGGTATATGCTGACATCAACGTGGATGTCCCCAAAGAGTCGCGACCGCAGCCGGCCGCCCGGCGCGACCTGCGCGCCCTCCGCCTCCCTGGGGCATCAAAGCGGTTCGCCGCCGCCTTCGCCGACCGCGCAGAGGAGCTGGAGAGCAGCATGCCTGTGTCGACTGCATCTGACATCGAAACCATCATGAAAGATTCTTTCTCCGTGGCCGCAGCCTCGGTCCCTACCCTGCTGGCGGCGCCGCGGAGGCCATGGGTCTCTGACCGCAGCATGGACATTATCATGAAGCGCACGGACGCCAGGCGCCGCGGGGACGTGGCTGCCGAGAGCAGTCTGAATATGCAGGTGAAGCTGTCGGTCAAAAGGGACCGAGCAGAGTGGCTAGAGCACCTGCTCGCCACCGGCGATTGGGGTCAAGTTCGTAAATTGAGAAAAGGGTTTGCACCAAAGGTTGGCCGGCTGAGAGACTCG